GCAGTGTTTAAGAAAGCAAAAAATACATTCACAGAACCAGGGTGAACCCAAGTTTCTGATCATTCCTTTGTATCTTCTCCGTACTTAAACTTAAAATTCTACTTTCTGCTATATTATTTAGCCATTCCATGGGTGTAGGTGGTCTCTTAACTAAATTATAAGTCTCTCCAGAAAAAGAGCCCACTCTCATTTATGTTCTTACTTCTCCATTCCCATGACAGGCAGTGTGGTATAATGGATAACCTAGATTCACATCCTCTTCTGACATCTGTTGGGTATGTAAACATGGACACTAATCATAAAATCATAGATTTGGAGTTAGAAGGGAACTCAGAGGAAGGTAATTTAGTCCAACCCTTCATTTTATAGATGAAGAAACTGGGGCCCAAAAAGGCTAAAAATGACTCATCCAAGGTTGATTCTGACTCCACAACATCTCTCACATTCATTGCCACTCATATAGCCATTAATACCTCTCACACTATTTCAGTAGCCTCCTAGCCATTCTCTTCTCCTTTTTCCATCATCCTTTCCACAGCTGCCAAACTGACAGCCCTCAACTACAGATCTGTTTTTATCACAACATTTCCCCAAAATTTTCAGCTATTCCCTAGGATAAAATACCAAATTTTCATCCTAGCATTTAAAGCCTTCTGCAACATGGTGCCCACCTATCTTATCAGTCATATTTCATATTCCCTTCAGGAACTCTCCATTCAAAGCAAATTGGCCCATTTGCTGTTTCTCATGTGAGACTTACATCTCCGAACTCCACCCCTTTGGGGGCTCACTTGTCTGGAAGGTACTACCTCCTCACCCTCCACCAGGTGGTAGTGTGGATCAAATCTGGCCTCAGACCCTTAGATTCCAATCTGGGAGGGAATTTAGGGGTCATTTAGGCCAACTCTCTCCATTTAGGTGGTGCAGTGGATAGAGTGCTGGGGTCAGGAAGACCTGAGTTAAAATCCAACCTCAGGCACTGTGTGATGCAGTGTGACACTCAGGCTGTGTGATGCTGAGCAAGTCACTTAGGCTCCATCTGCCTTAGTTTCTTCAACTAAAAAATGGAGATAATAATAGCCTCCTCCTAGTTGTTGTGAAGATTAGCACACATTGCTGTTGTTTTTCTTAATAAATGCTAGTTTGTGGTTGTTCAGATATGTTCAACTCTTCATGACTCCATTTAGGGTTTTCTTGGCAGAGATACTGCAGTGGTTTGCCATTTCCTTCTCCAGTTCATTTTACAGATGAAGAACTGAGGCAAACAGGATGAAGTGACTTGCCCAGGGTCATACAGCTAAGTAAGTGTCTGAGGCTGGATTTGAACTCAGGAAGATGAGTTTTCCTGACTCTAAGCTCTGTGCACTATGGCACCACCTAGCCATCCTAAATGCTTTTTTCCTTCCTTCATTTAGAATCTCTAGCTTCCTCCTATAGCTTTTCTAAGCTAATCATCCTCTCTTGCTCTTGAAATTATTTATACTATCTTGTATACATTGCAGAAACTTTTAAAATCTCCTTTTTAGTTTCTCTAGATACATCATGAAGTGATATTTCTCTGGTCTAAAAATCTCTTTCCAGATTTCTCCATGTAAAAGATGGATTAGGTCAAGGACAAAAGGCCCTTTTCTAGGGAAAGAGATTAAAAGTGGTAACTGAAATTTAGAGCAATGAGTACATCACTCTTGTTAAAATAGCCCTTTTATATCAAGAAGGAGTTGGGGGGTTAAGGCTGTAGCACCCTAGATCTAGAAAAACCACATAAATTTTTTGGCTCTCCCTTTGTGCCAGAGAAGTCTGAATTATTATGGTATTAAAAGATAAAATATGTTGATATTATGCAATACTAAACATATATTTTACACATTTCTGAGTTTCTAAACTTTTTCTTTGTCACCTGCTGGCCTTTGAGTGTCGTCTGCAGCTTCTGCAAAACTCCTCAAAAATTTCCATTTAATTTCCTATGCCAACCCCCGATACATAGAAACTGTGATAGGGAAAGTGGAAATGTGGAAGGGATAACTGTATTGTCTTTCCCATCCACTGAAGTAATTAGGCTATTGACCCATTTTAGGTAGTGGTCTTCTCCATCCTGGAAATGCTATAAACCCGTCATTCTCCTTTGAGAGGAGATCCCTTTGTTTACTACAAGAGAACACTTGAGGGGAGAAAACACTTCTGGGAAAGAAACTGAGCAGTGACCATTGTTTTGGAATATTAATCCTAAACTGTATTTTAACACCATGAGTTGCTTCAAGATTTCTATAAATTTTCCTCAGTTTCTCAAATTGTCTTGGAGTAAAGAGGCACGCCGAGGGCATGGTAGTGTGGTGAGGAGGACTATCCTTGTTTGGCTATCTCTCTATATTAAATTAAATAAAATTGTTTCTGGCAAACTTAGGTCTAAATCACAGAATATAACATTAATATTTTTTTCTTCCACAATACTCTGTATCTTTTCTGTGTACGTGTTGTATCCCATTGATAGAATGTTAATTCTTTGAGGGCAGAGATATTTCAGGTTTTTCATTCTTCTGTCTTTAGCTTAAAGTATAGTACCCCACAACCAGCAAGTACCTAACAAAAGTTTGTTGAATTAAATGCCACGAGTAGCTGAGTTGGAACTACTCCAGGGCTCTAGAAGAAAATAGATGTTGAGCCCTGTCCCTGCTCTGACTTGCCAAAAAACATGAACTTTGAGGGAGACAATGAGGAACTGAAGGAAAATGTAAAATGCCTGGTCAGCAGTTCTGAAAACTGCTTCATATTTAGATGGGGTTAAGTTTCTGTAAATGTGATAAATATAACAGTGGTTAGAAGTTATTTCCCTGCAACCTGTTCTTCTTGTTACTGAGCGACAGTTTGTGAGAGCCTTTTGTGTTAAGCCTTTCTTTAGTATGTAGGACATAAATACCAGTCCCAAACCTAAAAAAAAAAAACCACAACCATCCAAGTAGTAGAGCTGGGAATTCAAACCCCAATCCTCTTACTCTAGATCTCACTTGCTTTTTTCATAACACTATAAAATCCTAGACTTTGATTACAACAATCTTTCAATTTTATCCAGTCTCTCAACCAACCTTCACAGAGTGTGACATCTACATTATCCTAAACAAACAGACATTTAGTGAAAATTAAGCCTATTCTTAAAGATTTCCCAAGGAAAAATTCTTCATGCCATAGGGAACCAATGTGGTATTACAGAAAGTGTCCTGGCCTTCAAGTAAGAAGATTGTGCTTCTAGTCCTGACTCTGCTACTTACTAGATGTACTATTTTTGGATATCATTTAACCTCCCTGACCAATAATACTTGTACTAACTACTTCAAAGAGTGTCGAGGAAAGTGATACGAATTAAATGTGAAATATCATTATATAAATAATTGCATAAATCAGTCAAATCATAAATCCAGTCAGTGGGCCAAAGAAACAGAATTGAAAGTGGCAAAGAATGTTGACTTTTTCTGTCTTTTTAGTATAAGCTGAATAAGTGAGCCAGTAAGTCAAAAGAAGCAAAAGACAATCTCTGCCCTCACAGAGCTTATAATTTAATAGAAGAGACAATAAGCAAACAAATATGTGCAAACAAGCTATTTACAGGATAAGTAGGAAATAACTAAGAGAAGGCACTAGAATTAATAGGGCTTGGGAGAGGCTTCCTGTAGAAGATGGGATGTTAGTTGGTACTTAAAGGAAGCCAGGAAAGCCAGAAAGTGAAGATAAGGAGAGAGAAAGAGAGTATTCCAGGCATGGGGGACGGCCAGAGAAAATGCCCAAGGCTGAGAGAGATGGAGTACTTGTTCATGGAAGAACAAGGCGTTACTGGATAGAAAAGTACACAGTGTAAGAAGTGTAAGTGCAAGAAGGTATAAGAAGTCTGGAAAGGCAGGAAGGAGGCTAAATTATAAAGGCTTTGAAAGCCAAATAGACAATTTTGTATTTGATCCTGTAGGCCAGAGGGAAAGAATGGAGTTTATTGGGGGAAGGAGGAGTAACCCAGTCTGACCTGTACTTTAGGAAAATCACTTTGGTTGGTAGCTAAATGGAGGATGGGTTGGAGTGGGAAGAGACTGGAGATAGGCGGGCTACCTGGCCCCTCCCCAAGCAGGCCATTGCAATAGTCCAGGTAAAATGATAAGAGCCTGCACTAGAGTGGTGGCAGTATCAGAAGAAATAAGGGGGTGTATTTGAGAGAATCTTGAAAGGTGAAATCAACAGCCTTTGGCAGCAGATTGGATATGGGAATGTGGGGGAGAGAAATAGAGAAGAGTTGAAGGTGATATCTAGGTTGCCATCTTGAGAGGCCTGGGAAAATGGTGTTGCCTTAGACAGTAAAAAGGAAAATAAGAGGCAAGAAGGATTTAAGGGGAAAGATTATGAGTTCCATAATGGACATATTGAGTTTAAGATGTCTACTGGACATCTAGTTGCAGATATCTGAAAGGCAGATGGTGATATGACATTGGCAATCAACAGAAAGGGTTTTTTTTAAGTACTTTAAAAAAAAAAGGAAGTTTTGAGTACTTATATTCTTGACTGCATTGAAGACACCCACACTTTTTATTCTCTAGATTCCTTCTTAGGAACCTTAACATACTTGTTTTTAAGTTCCAATCACAAAGTAGCTGGCTCAATAGGAATATCCAAAAAATTAGGGGGAAATTCCACTAAACTAAACAGAGCTTTCTGCAGTACCTATTTTTAAAAATCCTTGTGGAATGAATGAATGAACGAACGAGAGAATTCATTAGCTAATTCTGATCTGAGTACAGATGAATTTCTAAGAATGTGTGAGATTTAAGGTATAGAAACCTCTTCCTAAGATGTCTTTTAAATAGCGGCTCAGCACAAAGAGAGAAATTCACCAGATTCTTAGAAAGATATCCCTCTCAGAGTTTACTCTTACCGAACTGTCTCCGAAAAGAGCGAGACTGATTAAGGAGGTTATGATGGGTCAGAGTCATTTCCTTAACACTTTATTCTCCTCCCCCTTCTTTCTCCTCCCCGCCCTCCAATTCCGGGATTTTGGGACAAGACTAGTCAGTTAGTTATTTGAGTGCGGACCTGTCTGGAGGAAGGTAGGAACCACTTCTTCCTCCGGGAGTTTCGGGGAGGGGGGAGAGGTGGGGGGTGGGGGGTGGCCGCACCTGTCTGCACCCAAAGCTGTCTTAAGGGATTGAGTCTCCTAGGTCCTAGACCTAAGCATTTCAATGCTTCCTCCAAACCCCTGGTGAGTTCAGCAGCCAGAGCACCTCTGCCCGAACGAACCTTGAAGGGGCTGCGAGCCCCCTGCTTCTTCGGTAAGCCCACTCAGGTTGGCCCCACCTAGGAATGCTGACTGTGACTCCGAAAAGGGAAAGAGCTGAATTGAATGTATGTATGTATGTATATGTATATGTATGTGTATTGTGTATGTAGCGTGTAATATGTTTGTATGTATGTATGTATGCATGTATGCATAAACAGTTGAGAAGGCTTGTATGAAAGAGGCAGCCCTAATGGGGAGAAGTGCATTCATTATTATAGTAATCCTTTCTCCCGGCAGGCGGAACTATAAAGTTTTACTGGGGCAAAAGAAAAGTGCAAGCTTCCATTGACAGGAATATTATAAAGCAGATTCTTGTTGTAGGTCTGTCTCTCATTACTTCACAAGAAAACTACTGTTAAAACCTTTAGAGATGTCCTTGCAGCCAACAGCAGAATTAGCCCTTAAGAAGCCGGGCTTTCTGTAATCCTGCCCAGTGACCTTAGAAGAATAAGCACAAAAATCTGTTTTCTACACCGGCTAAAACCTTGTCTCAACTTAGTTGTTTATAATTCAGCAGGTGCTAGCACTGCTACAGCTGTAATGGTTAGAGCTCTAGAATTAGGGTTAGGAAGACCTGAGTTCTGTGCTGTTGTAGACTCTACTTCTGTGATTCGGTCACTTGACCTTTCTCATCCTCTATAAAATAGGAATAATAAATAGCACATATCTCTCTCATAGGATTGTTCTGGGATTTCAAATGAGATAATGGGGCAGGGAAGTCATGTTGTGGAAAGAGTGGTGGGCCTGGAGTCAGGAAGACCTGAATTCAAATCCAGCCTCAGATGCTTACTAGCTGTGTGACCCTGGACACATCACTTAACCTGTGTTTGCCTCAGTTTCTTCAGCTATAAAATGGGGATAATAATAACACCTACTCCCCAGGGTTGTTGTAAGGCTCAGATGAGATCATAATTGTAAAGCACTTAGCACAGTGTCTGGTACATAGTGTTATGTAAATGTTAGCTATTGTTATTATTCATATATAAAGCACTCTGCAAGCCTTAAAGGGCTATATAACTATTAGCCAGTACTATTGTTACTACTTTCTAGGCAATGTAAAAGGGACAAAGTATGCTTGACTAATTTTGAGAACTTTTACAATTATTAAAAAAAGATTCCTACACACAGAAGCCTTGGACTTCATAGGCATTATTTCATTCAGTTCTAAGAATGTTGATCAAATCCAATGAATAACTTAGTTTTTATTTTCCTGCATCCTAGTTTTCTTCAGATGTTTTCTACTACATGAGGAATTATCCTTTCCCTTTGCATTTTAAATGGTTAATATTACTTTTATTCCTATCTCTGAATTATATTCAATGTCTGTCCAGATGATATATTAATCAGTCGACAGGTATTTATTATGCACTTGTGATATGCCAGACAGTTTGCTAAGTGCTAAGGATACAAAGAAAAAGTTGTTTGTTGTTTTTTTTAAAGTCCCCATCCTTAAGAAGCTTACATTCTAATGAGCAGACATGTATATAAATGGGTACATACACGATATCAACGGCAATCTTCCAGGGGGAAGAACACACTAGCGCTGGAAGAATCAGGAAAAGCCTACTGAAGGTGGGGCCTGAGCTGAGTCTTGAAGGAAGCTAGGGAAACTGAGCGGTGCAGATGAGGAAGAAAAGAGTTCCAGGCATGAGAAACATCGGAGGAAAAGATGCTCGGGTGGGAGAGAAAGTGTGATGTGCCAGGACCAAGTAGACCAATGCAGCTGGATCATTCAGTTCATGGAGGGGAGTAGAGTGTAAGAAAACTATAAGGTCAGAAAGGTTCAGGTTATGAAGACCTTTAAATGCCAAACAGAGGCCTTTCTATTCGGTCTTAGAGGTAATAAGGGAACAGTGGAGTTTAGGGGTGATATGTCAGACCTGTGCTTTAGGAAAATCATTTTGGCATCAGAGTGGAAGATGGGTTGGAATGGGGACAGAGATGATGATGATGATTAGATTTTTAAATATATAAATTGAGTTGAACCCTTTCAAAAAGAGCTGTAGTTGCTAATCAGTTACTAGAATTTAAAGTCCATGAGGTCAGAGGAATCTCACTCAACATCTAGCATAGTACTTTGCACACAATAGTTGCATAATAAATTACCTTTGTTTAATGTGATAGAATCAAATTGGGGCCAGGAAAATATTAGTGGACCCAATTTTTCTGCCTAACCTCAAGTGTTGAGTAACAAAGATAAAGTAATAAGGTAAATAAACTGAATAAACTGCTTTTGACAAGAAGCTAAGCAACCTTAAGCAAAATCGTGACATAGGTGAGGTTTGTCCTGAGCACCTCCAACCTTAATGCCTGTCTCCTTTCTCAGCCTCCCATAGTCCCTTTCTCCCCCAGATAGCCAGTTATCTCCAACTTGTTAGTCCTTTCTAAGGAAAATATCTGACAAATTAATTCTGCCAAAGTATTGTTGACTTAATAAACTTGAGACAATGTGTGGGAGACAAATACATGGGAGACTTAGTTTATTTAATTTGTTAACCCAGATAGGAACATTTATATTTTAAAATAGACGCGATAGGGTAATGGTTAATCCAGAAGAATATCAGAATTTCATTTATCATTAAGGAAGAGATTTGGGGACTGGGGAATAGAGTATATTAAGAAATAAATTCTACTTCACCCTCTAGTGGCATGCTAAAATCAGTTCCTCCTAACCTAGGAGTCATCTTTGACTTATCTCTCTCTTTTGTGTTCTGAATACAAACCTGTAAATTCTTTTACTCAACTAGCCTTTCTTAATCACCTTCTATGTGCCAAGCACTGTACTATATGCTGGAGTACAAAGACAGAAATGAAAGTCTCTGCCCACAAGGAGTTTATATTCCACATGGGGAGGCAATACATATACATACAAGTTTATAGCAAGTAAATGCAAGGTAATTCCAGGTGATTGGGGGGAGGGAAGCATGCGTGCCTGGGTAGATCAGGTAAGGCCTCACATAGGAGATGGCATTTGATCTGTACTCTAAGGGGTTTGGGATTCTGAGAATCAAAGATGAGTAGGGAGTGCTTTCCAGGCATGGGGGACAGTAGGGAGAAAAGAGGTGGAAAGATAGAGAAGAACAGCAAAGGCATAGAGTCTGGAAATGGAAGGGCATATGTAAGGAACATCAGAAAGCCACCTTGGCCAGAAGATAGAGTGTGTAGCAGGCAGTAATGCACATAAAGAACATGCCTGGGAAGGTGGTAAAGACTTTAAATATGAAACAGAGAAGTCTGTATTTGATTCTACATGTAACAGAACCACTGGAGTTTATTTAGCAGAGGAGTAACATATTCAGACCTTGGTTTTAGGACTATCATTTTGGCAATTGTGTATAGGATGGATGAGATGTTGGGGAGCTGAGTCAAGGAGTTCAGTGAGGAGATTATTGAATAGCCTAGACATGAGGTGATGAGCACCTGAATTGGGCGGGTGACAATGTGAATAGAGAGAAAGAGATAAATTTGAGAAATAGGAATCAACAATACTTGACAACTGTTTGGATGTGTGGGGTAAGGGTGAGGAAGAGTAAGGTGTCTAGGATGACTCCAAGGTTGGAACCTGTGTCCTAGAAAGTTGGTGGTACTTAAAATAGATATGGGAAAGAAAGAAAGATGTCAAGTTCTACTTTGGACATGTTGAGTTTGAGATGCCTATGGGAAACCCAATTTAAAATGTCCAGCAGACAACTGGTAAAGAGAGAAACTGTGGATGGGTATATAGCTCTTGGCGTTATCTCTACAGAGATAATAATTAAATCAATGAAGTCACCAAAAAAAAAAGATGAGAGAGAAGAGGAGAGGAGAAAAGGGAAGGGAAAAGAAGAGAAGAGAAGAGAGAAGACCCAGGACCGAACTTTAGGGTACACTCATATTTAGGATGAAGTGTACCTGAGATGATTCAGCAAAGGAGAATAAGGAGTCAGACAAACAGGAAAATAACCAAGAAACAGCTGTAGCATGAAAACCCAGAAAGGAGAGCACACCCAGGAGGAGAGGGTAGGATAGTCAAGAGTGTCAAGTGCTACAAAGAGGTCAAGAAGGATGTCTGAGAAAAGGCAATTAATAGATCATTTTAATTTTGGAGGCGATGATGTCAATTGAAGTGGGAGCTAGAGTGCAAGGGCTGGGAAGTATTTGAGAGGAGAAGTAGAAGCAATGAGAAAAGACATTTTTTTCCCTAGGAGTTTGGCAGTACACAAGAGGGTGATAGGAGATAACTGAAAGGGATGGCAGGGTCAAGAAATTTTTTATTTAATGGCAGAAGAAATTTTTTTTTTATTTAAAGGCCCTTCCAGAAACACTTGAGAATGTTCATAAGTAGCAGTGATTGAGCTAGGAAAAAGGGAGCACTGAAGATTGGGTAGGAGAGAGACAATGGCAGAGCAGTGTGCCAAAGGAAATGGGAGGGGATAGGATCAAGGATACTACTCCTAGAGGAGTTGGTCCTGGGTAAGTCAAAGGATCACCTCTTCATCAGAAACTGGAACAAAGGAAGAATACAAAGGGTGACAGCAACTATTTTTGACCTATAGGTTTAGTTAAATCTTCTCCACAGCATCTCTTGTGTACATTCTCTCCACTCTACCCACACAGTCACCACCCTAGTTCAGGCTGTCATCACTTCTAACCTGGGCTATTGCAGTAGTCCCCCACTTGGTCTCCCTGCTTTAAGTCTTTCTCTACTCCAATCTCTCTTTCACTCAACTACTAAAATGATTTTTCCTACAGCACGAGTAACCATGTGACCCCCATTGGCCATCTCAAACTTGATGTCCCATATTCAATCATATCTGACTCTTTGTCCCCATTTGGGGTTTTCTTGGCAAAGATACTGGAATGGTTTGCCATTTCTTTTTCCAGCTCATTTTACAGATGAGGAAACTGAAGCAAACAGGGTTAAGTGACTTGCCCAGGATCACACAGTGTCTGAGGCCAGATTTGTACTCAGGAAGCTGAGTCTTCCTGACTTCAGGCCCAGCACCCCTTTGACTCTAAATGCAGTAATCTTTTTTGCTATATCACACTAATACTGTTAAGGAAAGTTCCAGAGAGTGCTCTTCTCACTCTCTGCCATACTTTCTCAACAAAGGGACCACTCCTTTTACAACTTGCTTTTCTGGCTCCTCAGGAATTTCTGTAGTTTCTGATGAATGAGGTCTATGAGACAGGGCAGATGTGTTCATGCTGCTTCTTCCCAATCTGCTAGACTTCCTGATTCACTGAACTCAGAGTTAGGCAGGTCAACTGGTTATCTCCATATTTGATTAGTAGCATACAATTTAGCATGTTAGTGTCCCCAGAGAGCAATGGACTTAACCTTTCAGTGACAACCCACTCTGGAGCCCAATACACCAAATTCGGAATAGGATAAAAGCACTCACTTATCAGTGAGTTATCAGCTGGCAGAATAAATATATGTCTGGAAGCCACTATTTTTCTCCTACAAAATTCCAACTAGCCTATTCTGGCTAGAAACTATTTCTAAAACAAAGGGATGATTTCAATCAGCAAGGTAACACTGTTAGGTGTACGGGGAAGTTAACTAGGTGTTTTAATCACATTTCTCAATCCAGCTGTCACCAAAGGATCCAAGAGATCAAGTCCATACTACCCCTCTTTGTTTAGAGTGCTATTTCTAAACCTCCCTTCTGCTCTTCTGCTTGTGATTTCTTCCAAAAAAGATAACCACAGGTAAGACCTTTGAACTTTGCAGTGTTAACCAAGTTTTTCTACCACTTTCTCATAACTGAGAAGCTGCATGGCATATTAGCTAGGAAGTCAGAAAGATCTGGTTTCAAGACCCACCTCTGACACATAGGCTCTCTCATGCTAGGCAAGTCCCTCAAACCATCAGTGCTGACTCTGTGGGACTATAAGACACTGATCTGCACTTGCTGTAGGATCCTCACCATGAATTCCCTATGCCTATGAAAATGTGGCTCTGGACCAAAAGAAAAAAAAATGATGACAAAGGGCTATTATTAATCTCCTCTCTCTTCTTTGAGTTTTTTTAAAAATCCCAATTATTTATGATCTTTTCTCATGGGAACCCCATTGCTTTTTTTTCTTTTCTCTATTTCTTCTTTTCTCTCAATTTTCTCAGTTCTTCCTGACCTCTCCTAAAATGCTGTTCTTCCCTCCCCCACAAACCACTAACCAATGACAGTGTTAGATTAGCTTATCAACTAACAATGGAAGTTAAGGAACTTGACTGCCTGTCCCTGGTCTTGGCCAGTGTACTCCTTAATGTACTTTCTGGCTTGTGAATAAGGAGGTAATACAAAATGTGCAAGGAATTGCAATTGTCCCTCAACAATCTATTCTATACTTTCAGTAGGTAGAAAGATGACTGATGAAATGTACTGTGAGCCGGATGACAATGCTATCGACCTTGTAGAGATAGAGTTTCGAGATGGTACACTTTACTTCAAAGGTAAATCTACAGCATAAGGGTTTATCATATGCTCATCCAAAAAAAGTTGTTGTGAGGTATCCCACTGAGTAAATCCCATTTTCTCTTTGACTTCCATTCTAATATTTGAGAACGTTTACTCCATTAAAAAAAAGAGTTGGCCCCTTTAGATTTGCCTTGATAGTATAGCATAAGTATATGTGACGTCAAATTCCATTCAGTAAACATTTACTGAGCACATACTATGTGAAATGCACTCTCCAGGTGCTAAGGTAGATTAAAAGGTAAAGAAGATAGTCACTTCCATTAAGGAGCTTATAACTGATATGATAGGTGCAAATGTAATTAAAATTAAAAATTATCATCTGGACAGTAAGAGAGTTACAAAGTGCTAGTGGAGCTCAAAGGTGGGAAAGATCACTTCCAGCAGGTCGGTGAAAAGTGAGAGGAAATTTGGGAAAGCCTTCTTAGTAGCATCTAAGTTGAGTAAATTGACAGACCTGTAGAAGCCCAAATTTAGGAAGTTTGCAGGGTGGTGTTATTCCTTAAAGTAAAATTGTAGCATGAATCCCTTAAGTTTTAAATTTTAAGTAATTTCAACTAAGGAAGGACTACATGTATAAATGAAGAGGTATTCTTATTAAAAATATTGTAAAAACAGCTTTTATTTCAGGCTCTGTGGGAAGCCTTTAATTCCATGCGCCCAATAAAATATCTTTACCTTAAGAATAAACATAATTATTTTATAGGCATTTGACTGTGAGAAATCTGAGCTTTTGAACTTATAAAACCTATTTTTAAATTTTTATGTCTCAGTTTTCTAAGATGCCAACCTAAAATATCTCGTTTGGTATAATATTTTTGGCTATCTGCATTTCCCAGAGGCAACTGGGAATGGAGGAGAGGAGAGAGTGCACATTCTAAATAAATTTGGAGTGAATAAGTAAATTCTAGGTGAAAATAAAAATGTTTTTCCTTTGAAGCAAAATGTAATGTTATATTCTTTTTTCTCTCTCTCTCTCTCTTTTTCCTTAAGCTGAAGATGATGGTAATGTATGATTGTTTCTCTGCTTTGGATCATATCTACAGGGAGTTGCATGAGAATGCATACCCACATATTCCATCTTTACCAACATGCTCGGCATGGAAAGAGACTGACTTGACATGATTCAGATTTGATTTGGGAAGCCAATATTCTTTCTGAAATGGGTGTAAACTCTGTAGGTTCAGTATTTCCCCCATAAAGTGAAAAAGAGAGAAGACTATTACTAAGTAGGTTCTCTAATGCCTTGGAAATTGTGCAACTCTTAAAAAAAACATTCTGTGTGAAGAGAATATGTACTACTAAGCAACGCTTATTCTAACTGGAGAGCACATGAAAATGGAGCAAGGGATGATAGAGCCCTCTTAGGAAACAGGACAGGGCACCAAGGAGTAATGTATGGTCATCTGGGACCCAAGAAAGAAGATTCCCCATGCTGCTGCTTCTACCCCCACTCTCATTGGTGCCCTAAAGAAAGTGGCCTAGGGGAGACAAAGAACCAGCCCAATATTGCTGGGCTGTTGGTCTTTAGACAGTAAACTTCCATAAATAAGCAGTATATATAACAGATGGCCCCTGTGGATAAAGGGAAGAACCCCTCCCCTATCTAGCTCTAGTTCCCCAACTAGACATTGATTCCTCTAGACACTGACTTCTCTTTCTTAAAGTAATTTAACATGGGTAATCAGGGAAACTCCCCAGTTTCTGGCTCCGGGTTACCTCTCATAGCATGATGCAAGAGTTCTGACCCCTTTCTGTGAAACGTGTGATGGCCTCTTACTTTGGAATGATGAAACAATTCCTGATTGGTCACCAATGATGCTGGTTGCAACAAAGATAATTGGCAACTGAATCAGATGGTGCCGTCCACTCAGTGGTATATAAGAAGAAAAAAAAGAAAGAAAGAAACAGCTTCTGGCTTCTTGTTTGGGATAGGTCCACAGATTCCTCTCCCTTGAACTATCAGCAAGGGTCCAGTACTTCAGAAAGAAGCCAGAGTACATGGCCAGCTAAACAAGTGGTGCCCTAATCCGGCAGATTGGAAGTGCCTCTTATCACCTTCTTTAGAGAAGCAGTCTCCCTTCTCCCTTTAGCCACATCACTCACCCCACCCCCATCACCACTCTATACTGGATGCCAAAGAGTCACAATCTATGGGAAATTTTCCTCTTCCCTTGTATTTATATAGTAGCCCTTTGCATTTCTTAATAACTGCACTTCTTTCTATATCTTTAGGTCTCTTGTTTAGAGCAATTAAAAACAATAGGTGGCATTAACACTGATGATTGTTATGACAGCCTGTTAATTTTTTCAATAAGAAAAGCTTATGTTTCTATGATGGGTATTCAATGCATACTGTAGATCACCTGGAATCAGATGATTTCCGCAAGCTCGGAGGCCCCAAAAATGCAATCTTAAGAAACTTGAACAATCAAGTTCTCATGAAAAAAAGTGGGATGGACATAGCTGTACTCGAGGATATGACTGATTGTGAGATTCAAGGTATTCTTTTTATTTGAATTATCACTGCTAAAATCATTGCCTTGGTTCTTCCTGCTCTATTTGGCTGCTTAAGCTTTTCTCCCTGAGACTAATACCTTCACTAAAACTAATGGAGAATAAGTCACATATATCAAAGACAAACTTCTCCAGAAATACATGTTTTTCTTGTTATCCAGTTTCATTGGATTGAGCAAAAGTATTGAATCTTCATGTCACAATCTAGTGTGCCTCACTCAGTCCTTACCTTACCTATTATAGAGTTTAGCTAGTTACTCTCAACAAAAACTGCTCTTATTAGCCTTCTTTTTGTCATGCTGAGACTTTATTGATAATGCTATTCACTACAATAGGATTTTACCTGAGAGGTAAAACATAGTTCTTAATGCCTTCCCATGATATTTTCTATAGTGGCTACAAACCAAAGTCAGAGAGAAGTACAGCAACATCTCAGATAGTCTTACTTTTAACTAGAACCTAACACCTCATAAAGTTAAGTAAGCTTCCTATTTTTTCCATTCATCAGTTCCCACATCTGGGAATTTCATAGAGAGCTGATGGGTGCATTAACTACTCCCAATCTATGCAGCGGCTTGACCCTCAGAAATCCAATACTAAGTAACATTGAGCCCTGCAGAATAGCTCTGGGTTTAGAAATGAAACTGAGGGTCACCTGAAGGCTACAGTCAGATTCTTCAGGTTGAGGACAGTCTTTCACAGAAGCTCTGAGTATTAGCATGGCAAAACACATTTTGTAACTCTTACCAACTGTATGGAGAATACTGGTTGCTGAAATAACATAGTATAAGATTGGTTAAGGGTCTTTGTAGGAACTTCCCTTAAGTATTCGTTAAAAACAATTTTTTCTAAATAGGATTCTAATTTATATATGAATATTTGCCCTCAGCAAATGCACCCCAAACTGTATTTATAATGCAAGCCTATAAAGAGACTGTACCCAAAGGCTTGGCAATAGCCATCTTGGTGAGAAGTAAAAACCAGATTTACAGTCTGTCCTGCCAGAACAAAGAACTTCAATTTAAGGTAAGACTGAATCTCATATACTTGTCTTATTGATGGATAATTGTGACAAATATACTTGTTCGAGAGTCTAAACACAATGCCAGGTGAAAGAACAGCCAGAAAAAGGAGTATATGAAGGAGATAAATGTGGATAAGCCTGGAAGGAGACTGAATCCAGATTGTGACGGGTCTTAAAAGCCAGAGAAGTTCGCATTTTATCCTCTAGGAAGAGGAAGTCACTGGAAATTTTTGAGGAGGGCAGTGACATGGTCAGGCTTGTGCTTGAGAATATCAGTTTAGCAGCTCTCTGAAGAATAAATTGGTGGAGGGGCATCTTCCAGACAGCAGCATTCCCATGCCCAGAAATAGTTCTCTTCAGTAGACGCTTTGCCTTAGCTCTGAACCACTGTGGTATTTGTACATCAATCATACACACTCAGGCTATCTGAGGCCTTGTGTAATGTGTAACATCTTTTTTTTTCTTTCTCCATAGGAAGGTGCTGCTCCAAATCATATTGCATCTACAACAAGTGATTTTATATTCTACCAAAAGAAGGTTATAGGCCACGAGAAGATGCAATTTGAGTCTTCATTGTACCCAGGATATTTTCTGGCTTGTGAGAAGGAACAGCAGGGCTATTTTAAGCTTGTTTTAAAAGAAGGCTGTGAAGAAGTGGATAAATTTATGATGTTTATTGTTCAGTATTGCTAGAAAAAAGACACATAAATCTACTTTGAAAAAATTGCTTGGGACAACAGAGAAAAAAAGTACGAGTAGAAAATATAGCTACATACACAAAAAAATTCTTAGTGACCTGAAAGTTCTAAAAAACAATTCATCCACTTAAAATTCATCCACTTAATTAAAATGGTAAAATCAAGAAATAAAGACCCAGTACAATGAACACAATGATATAAACAAAATACAGGCACATGTGACTATTTTATCACAGCTGGTCACTCTCCCAGTACGACTTTGGACAAGGCCAATTCAATTAATCTTTCTGGGCCTCAGTTTTTCTTACTCTTCCCTCTTCACAAACTCTGTGTTCCAAGCAAACAGAATTGTCGTTTCCTGACATGCTGTTTCTTACCTATGTGCCACGTAAGTACACAAGCCATCCCCCAGGGCTAAAATCTCCACTTTGGTGCATCTGGGCTTTTTGTCCATCTCGGCTCCTTTCAAGTGCCTACACGGAGCCTCCTCTGAGCCCTCCCAATGTAGTTCTCTCTCCCTTCTCAAATATTCTCAGAGCACTTCACTGCTTTCTCCTTTGCCTTTAGTCTCCTGGATCAACAGACTCAAGAGCTTGCTGTCTTCTTCAACCTTTGTTTATTCAGTAACTATTTACTGCGTGGTCATCATCTGTAAGGCCCTCAGCTCCTTTATCCTTGGATATTCAATCACCAAGTTCTAACCATTTTCCCCCTTGTAACAGCTCCTATATTTTTGATTCCCCTTCCATTCCTATTCCTATTGCCCATACCTTCATTACCTCATGTTGAGGTGGGATATGTCAGCCCTTTGAGTCCAAGTTTTACAGAATAAGTCTTTTTATTAAGGGGGTTTGTCCTGTGAAGTTTGGATTCAGTCAAAGGGCTGCACTTGAGGACCTAGAGGGCCGCATGTGGCCTCGAGACTGCAGGTTTTCCACCCCTGGACTAGAGGAATCCAGAAGCAGATCCGGAGAATTGTGCAAAGGCTCCATTCTTGACATTTTTCTCATCTGTCTTTGTATCCCACCCCTTGGTAATGTTATTCCCACAACATTAATTATCACTTAACAAATATGAATCCCAAGTCTGCACTTGGGTTGTGACAGCAGAAATGGGCAGGAAGGGATGGATAGATGGCAAGAAGCATAACTAACCAGAATCTCTGGTCCTGCCTTATCTACCTGGCTCCAAAGCCACATCACCTGCCTGCGGTCCATCAGCACCTGGATTTCCCACCAGCACTTCAAATCCATTATTTCTGGAATCAAGTGTTCTTTTGCCCAAAGCTCCTCTCTGACTTCCATATTGATGCTGGTTGCACTATCATTCACTTAGTCACCAGTATTTGAGTTCTTCCCTTTCTCACCTCCCATATCCAATCAGTTGTCACATCCCATCAATTGGGGGGGCAGTTAAGTGGCCCAGTGGATAAAATGCCAGGCCAGGAATCAAGAAGACCTGAGTTCAAATCCAGTCTCAGACACTTACTAGCTGTGTGACCCTGGGCCAGTCACTTAACCCTGTTTGCCTCAGTTTCCTTGTCTATAAAATGAGCTGGAGAAGGAAATAGCAAACCATTCTAGTATCTTTGCTAAGAAAACCCTAAATGGGGTCATGAGAAGTCAAATACAACTGAACAATAATAAATAATCAATTTGGCCTCTGTAGCATCTCTTGCAGCCATCTCTTCTATGTCAACGTTACCCACCACCCTAGTCTAGGCTCTCCTTATCTACCACTATTGTGGTAGCCTCCTAAATAGTCTGTCTCCACTCCCCATCCAAACTGTCTTCACATCACTGTCAGATTAATCTATGGTATGCACAGATATGTTACTCCCTTTCCCCAAATATTTAAATGGATCCCTATTCACTTCTCAAGTAAAATTCTCACTGTTTGGCATTCTTCAGATAACAAGAGATTGAGTGTAAGGTGGATAGAACACTACATTTAGTGTCAAGAAGACCCGAGTTCAAATCCTACCTCAGATATGTACTTTGTGTGACGTTAGGTAAACCAATGAACCTCCTTGTTTGTTGAGTTTTCTCATCAATAAGTGGGGATAATATCAGCATCTGCCTTACAGGATCGTTGTGAAGATCAAATAAGATAACACATATAAAGATAGCATACATAAACCTTGAATAACTATACAAATACTAGTGGTTGTTATTACATTAAGTCAGACATACCATCCAGACATGTCATCATTGCTATTGTACCTTCCATAGAAAAAATGTATAGGACATGGACAAGGGACACTGTATAGTCCTGAAGCAGCATGTGCCCTAGGCACACCCTGGCGGAGAGAGGACAAGGCAGATACAGACATACCATGAGGCCTCCTGGTGACAGCCAGAGCCACGTCAAACACCAAAGGGAAATGGATGAAATGAACCAAAACAAAACAAAAATCCAGATCGCATCAGCTAATTGGCTGCCAGCTTTGCTGAACCTTCCTAGGCCATTCATTCTCCCAAACTCTGACTTTGCCATGACCCTTCTGGCATGGCAGGAAGACAGCCCCATTGAATGAAGCTCCAATCTAGTCTATTACCTTGTCTCATCGGATTCAGGTGTGGGTGTAGCCTCTGAAGTCCACCCCTAGTGTGGGGCCCTGGCTATGTTCCTCTGCCTCAGCACCCTTTGCCAACACACTCCTCAGACTGGCATTCAAGGCCATCTCCCCACCAAACCTCATCCTGCCTTTACAGCCTCATCTCACTTGATTCCCCTATATAGTTCAACATTTACTAAATGCTCACTACATGCAGCATACTCTTTGCTGTGGTTAAATTAGTGTGTTCACTGTACATATCCTTTTTCTGCACTTTTGCTGACATCGTTTGTTACACCTAGAGTGTCCTCACCCTCTCCCTCATTTCTACCTTTCAAGTCAAAATCCTGCCTATTCTTTTTTTTTTTTTTTTTTTGGTGAGGCAGTTGGGGTTAAATGATTTGCCCAGGGTCACGCAGTTAGTAAGTGTTATATGTCTGAGACCGAATTTGAACTCAGGTCCTGCTGACTCCAGGACCGGTGCTCTATCCACTGTGCCACCTAGCCACCCCTTACCTATTCTTTATGACCGACTTTGACCACCACTGCTTCTACTAACCCTTCCATAACCTATTCAGTCAATGATGCTTCTTCCTTCTTGAACCTAAAAAAGTACTTTGTGCTTCTCTTACGAAATTTTTAACTCATCATCAGTATTTACATATGCGTCCTATTCCCCTACTAGATTGTAACCCCCCAAGGACAGAGACTATATGTTATTTATCTTTGTATATACCCCACAGTCCTGCACATAACATGTATTTAATAAAAGTTTGATGAAGTTGGGAAATGAGGGGGAACTGCTGGGAGAGGAACTGACAAGGGGAAATTCCCTCCTGAATCTGATTCTCACTTAAAGGAGGAACTGCATTCTGAGGCAGAAATGATGGGAACTTTGTGGGGGGAAGTGATCACTATCTCTCTTTGAGTTTGTGATAGAGGAGATGAAACCCTCCTAGATCTGGGAAGAATGGATTTCACAGAGTTCAGAAGGACAGTAGGATTCCACAGACTAAATGTAACAAATAATAAATAAGATTCCATAGTCTAAAATTCTATAGAGAAAACCACCCCATGAGTATAAGAAACTCTTAAGAATGAGACTCTGCAGGCACAAAGGGAAACAATTCTGATGAGGAGGAAAAAAAGTTGTTTTCACAAAAGACTCACCAAACGATTTAGAATTAAAAAGGATCTTTTAAAATTTTTAAAATTTAGAAGTGAAGCACAGGAGGCCTGGAGAAAGAGCAATGCTGATTTGCTTCTCAAAAAAGAGAAGGAAGTAAAATGAAAATTACACACCTGGGGGTGAAAATCAACACTGGATTACTAAAGAGAAATAAGTAGTGATAACACCTAGGAAAAAAAGTAAGTTTTTTTAAACAAATTGCCAGAGAGGTTTTATCAAGATTTGGTCATACCAGGCTAATCTTCCTTTTTTTGATAGGGTTGTTAAACTGGAAGATCAGGAGAATACTTTAGATAGAGTTTACCTAGATTTTAGAGAAGCATTTAGTAAAGCCTTGCGGAAAAGATAAAGAAATGTGGGCTAGACAGTAATGCAGTTAGATAAAATCAGAACTTTTTGAATGACTACTTGGAAGAAATCCAGAGTGGAGTGGCCTAGAATCTGTGGTAATGAGTATTTCTATCAGTAACTTGCATAAAACGATAAACGGCAAATTTATCAAATTGACACATGTTGAAAACACTAACTTCATAAATACAAAATGTGGGAGGTAGGTTTGAAATCAGTTTGTCTGAAAAAGATCTGGGAGTTTTTATTGACTCAGCATGACAGAGCTAATGTGATCCTTGACTACATTAAGAGAGATTCCAGAATAAAGAGGTGACAGTCCCTCTCTACCCTACGCTGGTGAAATCACATCTGAAGAGCTGGGTTAAGTTCTGGGCATTCAGATCGTCGTTTGGGAAGGACATTGATACGCTGGAGATAAACTAGAGAAACACAATCAGGAAAGGAAAAACAAGCATTTGTTAAGTGCCTACTATGTGCCAGTCACTGCAGTAAGAACTTGCCAGATATTTTCTCATTTGATTCTTACATGGTGAAGAAGGCACTATTAAAATCCCCATTTTATAGTTGAGAAAAGGTAAAGTGACTTGCCCAGTGTCACATAGTTAATACATGTCTGAGACCAGGTTTGAACTCAGGTCTTCCTGACCTGATCCCAGTGCTCTATCTGCTACACCACTAGCTGCCTGATCAGGATGGACCTTGAGTCTGTGTCACATCCGGATCATCTGGAAGAACTGGGGAAGTTTAGATTCAGTGAGAGAAGACCCAGAGGAGCTAGCATAGATATCAGCAAATATTTGGAGGGCTATCTCATGGAAGGACTAGGAAGGCAGAACCTGGAACAATGCACACAAGTTGCAAAGGGCAGTTTCATACTCGAGTCCAGGAAAACTCCCCAACTATCAGTGCAAGGTGCTACTTCTGGAGGTAGGAAGGGGGCCCCCTCACTAGAGATTGCTAAGTGAAAGTTGTAATGGGGATTCTTTTAGGGATTGGGCTTGGACCAGATGGATATTCGAATCTAAAATTCTGTGAACTAGCATAAAACTACTCTGCCTAGACTCTTGTCTAAGAGTGGGGTTTTGAGGTTCCTCATATCTCACACAGTAGAGAGAACTACAGACGACGAGACTTTACTGTTCTCTTATTATGTTTGAACACATTCCTGCCTCTCTCATTATGATGTTGACCCCACCAGAAATACCAGACAATTATAAAATAACAGAATCTCAGAATAGAGGAAACCTCAGAAGTCATAAAGTCTAATCTTATCTAACCAATAATCCCCTGTATATTACCCAACTGGTCACCTACCCTATGTCTGAAGGG